GCATGACTGAAAACAATTGAGCATACATAACAAACTTTCAGCTAATACCTTAGCAGTCAGCTTTGGAACTCAGAAAAGTTGTATTTAAATCAGTCTCGCTAACAAGTGGCAATATATTCTAGCATACTGTTATGTTTGACTAGGATGGCCCCTACTGCTTCCTATACTGTAAGTCAGAGAACAGTCAGCAAAATTAATATGCTTTTATGACCCCTCCCCATATCCCACACTTTTTTGTTCCTGGGTATTCCTTTCTTGGGAGTATAAAAACCAGGAGAGAGGACTCTTTTTCTCAAGAATGAAGACAGGAAAAAGTAGATTTTACTCTGGTCAAAATCGAGTTTAGTCTATTCCCTTGCTATTTCATCTGAGCAGTTCTTAGCCCAAGCTTCATCCTTGGCTTAGCAATATTTCAAAGTCAAACTCACCTAAAGAGGCCTAAGCCTCTCTCTGGTCACATCATATCTGGAGTATCATCTTGTAGAAGCCACCAAGTTCTTTGTTGCTCTAACAAGCACTCCCAACATTTACAAGGAATAACTGGCAAGCAAAAAAACACATCCCTAGTCAACCTTTAAAGTTATTGAGCTTCAGGGCAGCTAGGTGGCGCAGTGGATAGAGCACCGGCCCTGGAGTCAGGAGGACCTGAGTTCAAATTCGGCATCAGACACATAACACTTACTAGCTGTGTGACTCTGGACAAGTCACTTAACCCCAATTGCCCCACAAAAAAAAAAGTTATCAGCCTTCCAAGAAAGAAAAGAGATTAGGATATATTTTCGAAGGACTAGAGTTGACCCTTCAAAACTTGGATGTTAACAAAGATCTTTAATGGAATGACACTTACTGGGAACTTCAGGATTGTAAGAGGATTTTTATTTTTCCAGGAGAAACGGAAGAGGTGCCAAATGTGGCATATCAGACAAGAAGCATCACTCAAAATCCCGAGATCTGAGGCCTAGTCTCCCCTCTGCCACTAACAAGTTACATGACCTTGAATAAACAAGACATTATTCTTCTGTACTTTAGTGTCCTCATCTGCAAAGTATCAGACTAGATCATCTTTAAGGTCACTTCTAGCTCTAAAAATTCTGAAATATCACCATATAAGTGCCCAACTATAGCAGAAGTTTTTAACCTGTATTCCATGAACTTTTAAAAAATATTTTGATAACTATATTTCAATACAACTGACTTCCTTTGTAATCCTATGTGTTTTAAGTTCTTAAAAACATTATCCTGAGAAGAGGTCTATAGACTCCACCAGACTGCTGAAGGGGTCAATGATACACAAAAAACATTAAGAATCTTTGATCTAGACCAGAGTTTCCCAAATTTATTTGACCTACTACCCCCTTTAAAAAAAAATTACTCAGCGCCCCCATGGAAATCTACTTTCTTTAACCTTTTAGTGATTTTTAAAAAAAAATTTGCATCATTTAAATTTTTTTTAAATGATGCACCTTAAATTTAATAATTTATTGTAATTTTGTAGGGTTTTTTCCTGCTTTCAAATCTTGACGATGCAATATTGTATCATGTAACTGTACAGTATCATATTGTGAACAAGTCATTACACTTACATATTCCTGCTAATGCATGTTGGACTTCCCCACAATGCACAACACACTTGCCTGCCACCACTTGCTTGGTTTTTTGTTCCTTTGTTTTTAGGTAATTGGGGTTAAGTGACTTGCCCAGGGTCACACAGCTAGTGTCAAGTGTTTGGTCTGAGGCTGGAATTGAACTCAGGTCCTCCTGACTCAGGGCCAGTGCTCTATCCACTACACCACCAACTGTCCCTCACCACTTGCTTGTTAAGACCCGTCAGTAGACTTGACCACTGATTGGTTATAACTTGCATTTTGTGCATTTCTTTGGAAAATAATGTAATCACTTCAACTTTATATTACACAACAGATGAAACATGTATGAACAGTTTTTCAAAATTTTTTTACCTTCTCTTCTTTTCCTTTTGCTTCCACCCCCCCTTTATTTTTATTCGACGCCCCCCAGTTGCACCCGAGGCTACTACTGACCCTCTGGATCAGTCCAGCTCCCCCAGCGGGTTGTATTGCCCTCTCTGGGAACCTATAATTACTAAGGTTGGACTCAGATCAGGCTCACACTTGCTCAAACCCTCTTTGGAGGTAGGAGTTTTAGCCGGAATCTTCAGAACCAAAAGTCCCAAAGTACCTGATCCAAAGTATTATTTCATAATCCCTAAATTATTTTATTTTTAAAAATAGATTTTATTGATTTTTTGCTTTTATATCAAATTTCCCTCTGTAGTAATCATTCGTCTTCCCCTCCCAGAGAGCCATCACCTATAATAAAGATTATTTCTTTTTTTTAAGCAGAGACTTTTTTATTCTTTTCTTTTTTCATTCCAAATTCTCTCCCATTTCCTACCCCATCCCCGACCCAATGAGAAGTCAAGAAAAATAAAACCTATTACAAGTGTATAGTCATGCAAAACAAATTTCCATATTAACCATGTTTTTAAAAAAAGAGAGGAAAAAAAAAATGCTTCCATTTGCATCAGTTCTCTGTCTGGAGGTAGATAGCATGTTTTGTCATGAGTCCTTTAGTCCCAACCTAAAATCAGACTACATGCAGTTATTACCCTCTAACCTTTCCCAAGGAAAGAATGCAGAAAAATATCCTGAGCACTACTTAGGGAGGTAGAAATGTTTTTTAAAAATCATATGCACACATACATATATATTCTTAAACACACACAAGCTCTTATGTTCGGGACTTTCATGATGAATTCAAAAGGTCCTGGGATACCACTGCCAGAAAGTCACTCAAAGTGCATTCCTCCAACTCTGATCATTGTAGGACTCATGAGAAATTTGGACCCAGATTCCAAAGTCTAACAGATATTCTTTTGCCCCAGTGCTCTCTGCTGATCAATGCCCACTTGCATTTCTAAAACAGTAGTTTCCAGAGTGATGATGTCAGGAGCCCATCACCTCTGACTGCAAAGGTCCCACCTCTGACACAAATCACTGATGACCAACCCTTTGGTGTATGCTGGGCCACAAGACCTCCAGCAGCTTGCAGTATAGCTTACTGCAGTATGTTTCTCCAGGGACACACACACAACACAGGGAACACAAAGAGAAAGCCCACGCTCTCTTGCTGACACACACAGGTCTCAGGCTGGCTCTTCCTTGGTCTTATCAACAACTAGTCCCAAAGTTATAATTACTAACACAGACATGCTTTTAGTTTAGCTCTTATGAGCCTCCCAACGACCCTGTGAGGTAAGTACTACAGGCATTATCTTTATTTTACAGGTGAGAAAACAGAGGACTGTGGAGACCAAATGGTTTGTCTTTGGTCACACAGCTAGTGTCAGAGGTAGGGTTCAAATTCAAGTTTTTTTAACTCCATGTCCAGGACTAAATCCAAGGTTATGCAACCTGTGATGCCCAGATGCCTAGGCTAGCCCTGCTTTTATGATCCATCCACAAGCAGCCTCAAGGAGGGACAAAGCCTGGTGCCCTCACAAATGTTAATTGAAATGACAGTTCCCAGTCTACAGATCTACTGTCCTGCCTTCTCAATTGTGGCAAAAGTTATTGGCATCGTACTATTCCAAAGGTCATCCTGCAGTCTCCTGGCAGGCTTTGTATACTACGCTCTTCTCTGGGAAGGGGATGAGAAGTAACTGTTGCTCTGTAGCTCCTGACACCTCCTACATACCATCTCCTCCCAAGTCCTGCTCCCATTTCTCACAGCATTAATTAAATGACTCTGGATTCTAGAAAGTGATGCCACTGGAGCACATACTCTAGCCAGTCTCAATGAGCTAGTAAGTCTTTGAGGGGCTCAGGGACAAATTGTGACTTGTCATCCAACAATCAGTCTAGCCAAATTGGAGAGAATGGCCACATAGTGATGGATGTCTCTGGCCACAACAACTGATGAAGGCCGCCTCCAAAGGCAAGGAGGGGATGTGATTTACAGAACTGTTGGCGTATCCATGATGGTGTAACTGTGGCTCTTCCGCAGTTCTGAAATACTAGGGATGGTCTCTGCCAGGGGCCTGGTCTGCTGCATGGAAGGAACATGAGTTTCTTGGATTTCATAACATGTTAGTTGATTGGTGTTTCATCCCAAAAATTTACACTGAAAACATATAAAGGTAAATAAGCAAAAGGCAAATAAAGGAAAATACAGAAGCATATCAGTTTGAATCAATTCAACATTTGGCATACTCAAAGGTGATCCATAGTACTTTCCACAAAAAAAAAATTTTATTGTACAGTTCTTTCAAGCCTGAGGTCTCCTTCTCCACCCCACATAATTACCTAATTCCATTTTTAGTCATCAGTCCCTGCTGCTGCCCTACTTCTCAAGGCCACGAGTGAAAAAAACCCATGCATTATCCAAATAAAAGGGAAATTTTAAAACACGGGATGGGAGGAGGTGATCAGGAATGATAGGACATGCAAAGGGATGAACCAGCTGCTGTCCCAGAAACACAACCAACAATCCCACCCCCATAGGTAAGGATAAAGAGAATCACAGGATAAAGAGAAGCAACCCTCAGTCAAAGGACATAAACACTGGGGCAAGAAAACAATGCTATGTGTCAGGGAGAAGGACTTAGACAACTGCCCAGTAACCTGGAAAATTAATCCGAAGGGCACAGAGTCATTCTGACAAAAGATGAGAAGGACAAGAAATTGCTTTCTCTTTTCAGTGGAGTTGCCTGGAGTTTACCAATGTGGTACAAGCTCAGTTTCTAGCCTATAATTCTTGATCTGTCCAGCCAGACTGAGATCTGACTTGGAATGATAGTTAGCTAATAACAGCTAACATTTATGTAGTGCTTATTATGTGCCAGGCACTATGCTAAGCACCTTACAAATATTATCCAGTTTGATCCTCTGAACAATCCCAAGAGGAGCTATTATCATCCCCATTTTACGGATGAGGAAACTGAGGCAAATAGAGGTTTAAATTCACACAGCTAGTAAGTCTGAGGCCAGATCTGAACTTAGATCTTCCTGACTCCAGGACTGGCAGTGTATCCACTGTGCCACCTAGCTGCCCCTAATTTTCTGAGAGCTTTGGAATCTATGTAGAGGTTCAAATTTTTTATCATCTCTTGAGAAACAAAAGCATTTTCCACCATCAGGTCTCATTCATGCTAATTAATAGAATGAATTTCAGATAGACTTTGCAATACTTCTATGTGATAAAGAGCCAGAGTCTTTTTCAATTAGGTTCAAATGCTCTGACCCTTCCCATGTGACTCAGTCTCTAGTCACCAAGCCTACTTCTCAATGATCCTTCCTCTGGACAGAGACAAGAATATTCCATAACTCCTGTTCATCATTCCAAAATTATCCCATTTGAGAGGGCCTCTCGGTAGTGAGTTATCCTAAAGGAGAAGGCCTTTATTGGCACCAACGACTTCCTCGTCACCTAGAATCATGGCACTGAGACTAAAGAAGGTGGAATCTATAAAGAGGAGAGAGGTTGGGGGCAGTATCACAGTCCATATCTGCCCCCCCCCAGGTATTTTGTTGGGCAGGCTGTAGTCCACGTGACCAGACCTAGCTTTCCCAGATTATCATTAGCCCTAAAATAACACAGGCCCCAGACATCAAGCTGAAAGAATGTAGAAGTCAATAAGACGTTCTGCCAGTGTCACTGCCAAGAGTGGAACAGCCAAGTTGTGTTGCAGAGTTCACTCCATCACAAGTTATAAGATGACAGGTAGCATGGAGAAAAGATGGTCCCTCGAATGCGATAGAAGACGTGAGCCAACTTGTAGAAGAAAGGCAGTGAAGAGGGACAAGCTGTGGGACAAAAAGAGATTTTTGTGAACGGCTCTTCCCTTTCTCATTTTCTTCATCCTTATCTTCACCTCAGACCACCTTCTAAAATTTCACCCACCTACTCGTCTTCTCCACTATGATCTACCTGATTAGAGTTTCCCCTTCTGCCTAAAAAATAACCATTGGCAGCCAAAATTATCACCTGGCCTCGGGCCTGGGAAACTTTGGAGTAGGTATCAAAGCCTTAAACCTCAGGGAGAATCTGTAACAGATCCTTCTATACCTTCCCTATTTGGGAACCAGGACCTCAGAGACTACAGAGAATCTAAGGGCAAGAGAGAGTTTCAAAATTTTCATCAGAGGCATAAAATAAAGCAAGAAGGCAAAGATTTGGTGGGAATGAATGAAAACTATTGTTATTTTTCCTAAGGACTAGTGAATCTCTCTTAAAGCAATGAGGAAATGCAATGAAGGGGTAAAATGGACACAGGAATTACTAAAAACAGAGAAACGAGACAGGTAATGGAACTAGAAAAAACAGGAAAAATAAGTAAGAATGTTTGAAAATGTCTTAAAGTAAAATTATTTAAAAATTAAATGTAAAAGAATAAAATAGAGAGAGAGCAATAAAAATTAAATTGAAAGGGAAATGGTGAAACTACTGTAAATTTGTATCAGTCTGGTCAACGTTTATTTTTTCCTACAGAGCCCAGGCAAGTGCATGGGCACTTGTCTTCAGGTGAGGAAAAAAGGAGAGCAATCACACTTCATCACTCACCTGGATCAAATCTCACTACCAAGAGGCAGAGGATCAAAGCAATCAAGAAGGTCCTCTTTAAGGGCAGAGAAAGGAGATGGTCCACCACAGACGCTAGCAACCACCGTAGCAACTTCCACAGGGCCAGCAGCTTTCGGCAGAAGGTGCCTGGGATAGGAGGACAGGGAGTTATAGCTGGGAGAACTGCCCTGACCTGATGTCCTAAGCTTGATTCCAAGGCCCAACTGCAAGGTAATGAGACTGACTTCTCTTGTGAAGCTCTTAAACTGGCTCTGATGAGAATCCCAAAAGTGTAGTTCAGGGAAAGAAAAAAAGAAACACAACAGAACCCCACATTTTAAACAGCAACTTCATAATAAACCTATGCTTACATTTCTACAATACCCCAGTTTAGGAGGAACCTTTCTCAATGATTATCACTACTGTACATATGAGGCCCAGAGAGGTTAATTGCACAATTAGTGAGTATCTTAAGCCTCTTGATTCTAGGTCCAGATCTTTGGCCACTATAGCTGACTCCTAAGGCAATTTACATACTGCCTACCTCACAGGGCTATGATAGAGAGGGTGCTAGACTTTGGAATTAGGAAGATCTGAGTTCAAATTCTGCCTTAGACATTTATTAGCTGAGTGGCCCTGAGGAAGTCATTTAACTTTTCTCGGCCTCAGCTTATTCCTCTATAATATGGGGATAATAATATCACATCTCATAGGATTCAATGAGTCACAAAAATAAAATATAAGCATTTTGCAAACATTAAGGTGCTATTTAAATGTCGCTACCAAAACTGTTTTTTAAACCTTAAAGTACTATGTAAATACTCTCTATGATTATTTTCAAGGACAACATCCATTTGGCTGGACATAGGAGTAGATTTGTGGTTTTTGTTTTGTTTTGTTTTTAAATAAGACTCACTGAAGTCATATCTCCTACTTTGGCCTGAAGTACTAATACTACTACCCAGTCCACAGAATCAGTTCTTGCTTATTCATCCAGAAAAGGGTAAGCAATATAAAACAGTTAATACAAAAGCAATTTGTATTTGGGTTGGGAATACAAAAACAACAGACATTTATCACATTTTATGTGGAAGACAGATCAGAGAGATGACAAACTGGAAACTGGGATACCAATTTATGATGGTTGCAATAATCCAAGTAAGAGATCCTACAATCCATCTACAACCTAGCATACGGTTTTCTTTTTCTTTTTTAATTAAATTTTATTTTCAAAGACCAGCCTTCTTGCTTTCTTTCTTCCCTCCCTTGCTCTTCAAAGAGAAGTCAAGAAAAATACATGCATAGTTAAACAAAACAAATTTCACATTGTCCCTATCTAATAAAATATGTCTAAATCTATACTGTGAGTCCATCACCTCTCTGTCAGAAATTAAGCATCACGTTTCATCATGAGTCCTTACAAATTCTGGTTGGTCACTATGATGATCAGAGTTCTCAAATTTTTTTCTTTTTTTTTTTAATATATTTTGTTTTAATCAGACAAAATCTTGCTTTTCACTCTCCCATCCCACTCCATATAGCCCCACTGAGAGCACAAGAAAAAACCCATTACAAATACGGATAGTTAATCAAAATAAATCTTCACTTTAGCCATGTCCTAAAAAATATTTGTCTCATTCAGTACTCTGATAGAGAGGTGAAGTATTCACCAGAGTGTTTTATTAATAGTCTTCTGGAATCCTGGTAGACCATTATTCTGACAAGAGTTCAGTACAATAGTATTAAATCACATTTTATAAACCATCACTTGTTCCATTCTTTGCTAGCTCAGAAAAAGCAACAAATATTTTTGTATATCCTTAGCATTTGTTTTGTTTAGAGCTAATCCCTTCCCTTCCCCACCCTCCCTCTGATTTCCTCTCCCCCCTCCTATCTTCCTGTTAGGTGAAATATATTTCTGTATCCAAGTGTGTTTGTATGTTCATGTATTCTTCCTTCTTTTGACCAGTTCAGATGAGTGAGGTTAAAGTGCCAGCCACTCTCCTCCAACCCCTCTTCCTTTTCTGTACAGATGTCTACTTGTGTTCCCTGAACATATGAGATAATTTTCTCTAGCCTTCCTTTCTTTTCCTTTTCCCTTCTCTTTCCATTACTTTTTTTTTTTTAGGCAATTGGGGTTAAGTGACTTGCCCAGGGTTACACAGCTAGCAAGTGTCAAGTGTTCGGTCTGAAGCCGGATTTGAACTCAGGTCTTCCTGACTTCAGGGCCAATGCTTTATCCACTGCACCACCTAGCTGCCCCCATTACCCTCTTAAGATCATGGAGACACAACAGCACCACTCCCAAGTCTTGTCTAATTGGTTTTCCTCTAAACTTTGAAGATGATAGGATTCAGAGGGGACACATGTATCATTTCCCCACATTTCAGTGTAAGCAATTTATCCTTATTTAGTCCTTTATCATTATTCATGTTTATTTTTGTATATTTCTCTTCATTCTTGTGTTTGAACTTCAAAATGTCTCCACCACTCTGTTTTCTGGCCTTTTCATCAGGCATACTCAGAAGTCCTCCATTTCATGAAAGCTCCCCTCTAAGCAATAACCCAGTTATACTGAACAAGTTATTCTTGGCCGTAAGCTCAGATCCTTTGCCTTCTAAAGTGACATATTCTGAATTTTCTGCTTCTTTATAGTATGACTAAATCATGTGTGATCTTCACTGTGCCATCTTGGTACTTGAATCCTTTCTTTCCAACTGCTTGAAATATTTTTCCATTGACCTAGGAGCTTTGGATTTTGGCCATGATGAAGTCTGGGGTTTCTTTAAGAAGATAACTGGTGAATTCTTTTCCACTTTGCCCTCTGATTCTAAGAGATCTGGATGATTTTCTTTTAATATTTCCTTTTTTAAATTTATTTATAGTTTTCAACATTCACTTCCATAAGACTGTGAGTTCTAAATTTTCTCCCCATCTCTCCCCACCCCAAGACGGCATGCATTCTGAATATCCCTTCCCCCAATCTGCCCTCCCTTCTATCACCCCCCTTCTCTTATTCACTTCCCCTTCTATTTTCCTGTAGGGCAGGATAGATTTCTATACCCTTTACCTGTATATCTTATTTCCCAGCTGCATGTAAAAACATTTTTTAAACATTCATTTTTAAAACTTTGAGTTCCAAATTCTCTCCCTTCCTCCCTCCCCACCCACCTTCATTGAGAAGGCAAGCAATCATGTAAAACACTTCCATAATAGTCATGCTGTGAAAGACTAACTATATTTCCCTCCATCTTATCCCGCCTCCCATTTTTTCTATTTTCTCCTTTGACCCTGTCCCTCCTCAAAAGTATTTGCCTCTCTGGCCTCAGACACTTGACACCCATCAGCTGTGTGACCCTGAGCAAGTCACCCAACCCTGATTACCTCACCAAAAAGCCAAAAAAAAAAGTGTTTGCCTCTGATTACCCCCTCCCCAATATGCTCTCCCTTCTATCACCCCCTCTTCTCTTATCCCCTTCCTCTCTATTTTCCTGTAGGTTAAGATAGATTTCCATACCCAAATGAGAGTAAGATTCACTCATTCCCTCTCATCTCCCTGTCTTCCCCTCCACTGTAAAAGTTCTTTCTTGCCTCTTTTATGTGAGATAATTTTACCCCATTCTACCTCTCCCTTTCTCCTTCTCCCAGTACAATCCTCTTTCACCCTTTAATTTTATTTTTTAGATATCATCCCTTCATATTCAGCTCATCCTGCGCCCTCTGTCATATATATATATATACACATACACACACACACACACACACACACACACACACACACACCACACACATACATATATATTCCCTCCAACTACCATAACACTGAGAAAGGTCTCATCTGTTACAAATATCATCTTTCCATGTAGGAACGTAAACAGTTCAACCTTAATAAGTCCCCTATGATTTCTCTTTCCTGTTTACCTTTTCATGCGTCTCTTGAGTCTTATATCTGAAAGTCAAATTTTCTATTTAGCTTTGGTCTTTTCATCAAGAATGCTTGAAAGTCCTTTATTTCATTGCATATCTATTTTTTCCCCTGAAGGATTACACTCAGTTTGCTGGGTAGGTGACTCTTGGTTTTAATCCTAGCTCCTTTGACTTCCCGGAATATCATATTCTAAGCCCTCCTATCCCTCAGTGTAGAAGTCACTAAATTTTGTGTTAACCTAATTGTGTTTCCACAATACTTGAACTGTTTCTTTCTGGCTGCTTGCAATATTTTCTCCTTGGCCTGGGAATTCTGGAATCTGGCTATAATATTCCTGGGAGTTTTCCTTTGGGGATCTCTTTCCGGAGGTGATCAGTAGATTCTTTCAATTTCTATTTTACCCTCTGGTACTAGAATATCAGGGCAGTTTTTCTTGACAATTTCTTAAAAGATGCTGTCTAGGCTTTTTTTGATCATGACTTTCAGGTAGTCCAATAATTTTTAAATTATCTCTCCTGGATCTATTTTCTAGGTCAGTTATTTTTCCAATGAGATATTTCACGTTGTCTTTTATTTTTTCATTCTTTTGGTTTTGTTTTACAATTTCTTGATTTCTCATAAAGTCACTAGCTTCCAATTGCTCTATTTTAATTTTAAGGAATTATTTTCTTCAGTGAGCTTTTGGACCTCTTTTTCCATTTGCACAATTCTGCTTTTGAAGGCATTCTCCTCATTGGCTTTTTGGATCTCTTTTGCCATTTGGGTTAGTCTATTGTTTAAGGTGCTATTTTCTTCAGTATTTTGGGGTTGTTGACTCATTTTTCATGATTTTCTTGCATCACTCTCATTTCTCTTCCCAATTTTTCCTCTATTTCTTTATCTGCTTTTCAAAATCCTTTTTGAGCTCTTCCATAGCCTAAGACCAATTCATTTGTTTCTTGGAGGCTTTAGATGTAGGAGCTTTGACTTTATTGTCTTCTTCTAGTTGTATATTTTGATCTTTGTCACCAAAGTAAGATTCTATAGTCTGACCCTCCTTTTTTCCTTAAGTGTTCTTATTCCTTCAATAAAAACTTTTTTTTTAACTCTTGTTTCATCTCTTCCAGAAATTCTAGTTGAGTTTGTGCCCCAGCTGTGTTCTCTGAGGTTTTGCTTGGAAAGGTTCTGGAGTCACTCTTCTATCTTTATGTATTGAGCATCTCTGCCACCACAATACCTCATTATGGTGGGATTTTTCTTTTGTTTACTAATTGTTCCAGAGCACTTCCTGACTTTGTACTTGATGTTAGAGCTGGGCTCTGCCAAACTTTTGGAAGGAAGATTTGGGCTGGTTCTATTGCTACTTTCTTAGTTGTTAAGAGTTGTGTTATTCCAGGATCTCAAGGACAGGCTGGGGACCTCTAAGTTTCCATATGCTCCCAAGTAGTCTGATCTAGGGCAAAGTTTGATTGCTGCCCCACTGGACTGAACTCTGCAAGTTCCTGGGTTTGTGTCTGGGCAAGAGTAGACTGCCACTGAATAGACTCTACCCCTACCAACCAGCTGGAAGGCTCTATTGGTGCAGAGTGGCAGCATCAAATACCTCTTTGGTTTGGGATTCCCACCCTGGTTATTCTTCTGTATGTTAGGCTAAATGCTAGAAGTATAACCCCAACTCTGAATTTGGGATCTGAGCCAGAAGCTGCTGCTGGTGGCTTCTGAACTTTTCCCTTTTTCTATACACAACCTGGAACCTCCCTACCTGGGAGTACCACTCCCCTGCAAAGGTCTCCTTCTTAGTACTTTCTGAATCTGTGACCCAGGACTGGTCACAGCTGCCCGCTGGCTCTTGTCCCCATTGCAATGCGCCACATGGGTCTGGAATGCCTTGATTCTGGTCTGGGGCCTCCTCTTGCCCCAGTTCACAGCCTTTCTCTGGACCCTGACAAGCACTACCTTTTGCATGTTCTGAGTCCCAACACCTGTGTCTGAAGATGTCCCTGTCTGTCTCTCTGGGCTGACTTGGGCTGGACAAATAACTCATTGTGAATTTTTCTGGATTTCCCCATCAAGATTCAATCTGGTGTATGTTCTAGATTTGTTTAGAAGAATTTTGTGGAGGGGAGTTCCCTGTACTACTTCCTACTTCACATGATCTTGGCTCCACCCCCACTAGTAGATAGCTTTCAAGAGTTTCTGCAGCTAAAAAATTTGTCAACATGTGATCAACATGTTGCAAAAAGCCTTTCCCAATTTAGCTAGGCTAGTTATTGGGCAACAGACATACAGCCTATCACTGGGCACAACCAGTGGACCCAATTATCTAGACCAAACTAACACTGGAGAAAATTTAAAGCTGACCTGATTTAACAGAAACAACCCTTATGAACATCTAACTCTTCTACTCTCTGATTCTTTTGCTCACCACGGTAATATATTCTTCCATATTTTGATTTGTTTGGTAAACCAACCACTAGAAGAAAGCACCCTGTCTAAATGACCAGTACAGTTATCCTTCCAGACATACCTCCCAGTATGGAGTACTATTATGTCATTCTAGTTTACAAATCAGTCTTTTGTTTAAGCTTCTGGAGATCAAGGGCTATCTCACCTGAACTTTGTATGTCCCCAAAGCATTCTGCACACAGTAGGAGCTCAATAAACATCTGAGATTGCAGCGAATGACTTACCCTGAATCAGCTAATAATATCAAGTTTTTGAAGCTACAAAGCTGAGGACCAGACTCTAAATCTGGGGTGACTCCAGGAGACTCAGCCAAGGAATTTTCCTCTAATACCATCTTTTGGATCTTTCAGAAACAGTTAATTCACAGGTTGGAAGGGCCCTAAGAAGTCACCTACTCCAACTCACACCTGAATAAATATGACCAAGAAGTATCTATGAAGTCTCAGCTTGAAAAAACCCCCACTACTTTCCAGCATGACCCATGCCACTTTGGCAGAGTTCTAATTGGTTGGTTTTTTGGGTTGTTTTTTTTTTGGCTAGGCAATGGGATTAAGTGACTTGCCCAGGGTCACACAGCTAAGTATGTGTTATGTGTCTGAGGCCAGATTTGAACTCAGGTCCTCCTGAATCCAGGGCCAGTGCTCTATCCACTGTGCCACCTAGCTGCCCCTGGAGTTCTAATTGTTAAGAAGGTTTTGCTTAAATAGAATAAAAAACTGCCTATTACTTCCAACCATAGATTCTAGCTCTTCTTTGTGGGACCAAGGAGAAAAGGTCTAATTCCTCTAATCCTCAAGGCTGTTGTAGAATCAAATGAGAAAATGTACATAGATTTACCATTTTATTTTGTTTAGGTTTTTCTTTTGCAACATGGCTAATATGGAAATATGTTTTGCATGACCTCACATGCTTCCCTTCTCAAGAAGGGGAGAGAAGAGGAAAGGAGAGAGAGAATTTGGAACTCAAAATTTTAAGAAATGATTGTTAAAAATTTGGGAAATATTTATCAAATGAAATAAAAATAAATAAAAATAATTTTAAAAAGAAAAAAGAAAGACAATGCACATATATTGATCTGTAAACCTTATACATAAATGTAAGCCAATATTATTTGGAAGTATGACACTCACTCAGAAATACAAATTTCAGTATATCTGTTTTTTTCTAAAAATCATTCTCATTAAAGCCATGTCTCTAAATGAGCCTCCCTTTCTCTAATCATTCTTGTGACTGTTAAATTAATCTTCCTTGTGCACTTAACATGCACAAGCACTTCCTTGAGAAGTTATCATGTTTTTTATAAGGACTTTTAATTTTCCACCAAATAAGGTACAAAGTCCTTAGCCTGGGATTCAAGGCCCTGCACAACCTCAAAAAGTCAGAATCTCAGAATTGGAAGGAAGTTCAGAGGCTATCTAGTCTAACCCAAACATGAGCAAGAATCCCCTTTAAAAAGTACCTGATAGGTGGCATTGAGACTTTACCTGAAGCCTCCAGTGAGAGAGGGAGCCCATGATTCTCCCAAGGCAGCCAATACTGCTTTCAGACAGGTCTGATTTTTAGGAATTGTTTTCTTTCATTTAGCCCAATTCTGCCATTTTACAACTTCCACCAATTCCTCCTAATTCTGGCCTCAAGAGCCAAGCAAAACAAATCTAATCCTTCTTCCATAAGTCAGCCATAATAAAAACAACAATTTTCTACAGAGCTTTGAGATCTGCAAAGTGCTTCACCTGAATTATCTCTATCCAATGAGTCTTTTTGTCCAGACTAAATATCACACCAGGCATTACTCTCAAGCGCTCATGGATATCAGCGCAATGTACTGAATCTCACTAAGGCCTAACTTCCCTGAGGATTGAGAAGGACGCAGTAATGTCCTACCTCCCTGGTTCTCCTTTTGTGGGTCCGGTTCCCTGGTTTCCTCGAGGTTCTCCTCTTGCTGCTGCCTTGCTGTGTAGATGGCCTGAGAAGCAGCCTGTCTCTGTTCCTCCTCTGCACAGAGCCCAGCCATATCCTCTGCATCTGTCCAACAGTGCAAGGGCAACAGCACCCGAAACAGATGAAGTTCAAATATGGCCCCATGTTCTGGCAGGTCTCGATTGGCCGGATCTCTCAACCAATTGCTGGCCACCTCCAGGATCGCCTGGGGTTCCTTTACTTTGCTGTATAAAAGAATGCTACAATCCCGAACCCCAACAAAGAACAATGTCAACCATTCATCATTATTCATATTCCTCTTCTCTTAGCTCCCAACCTCATTCCATATGAACGCTAGGAGTGGAAATCTTTGGAATTTCTGGGATCACCTCTAAGCAAGGTTGGCCTCCTTTACTCTCCTCCTATGCCCTTCTTCTTGCCATGCTCTTTATCTTTTCCCCTTCTGTAACCCCCTGACACTTCCTCTATCCCTCTATCTGTTGTATTTCAGGGTCCAGAGATTCAGGAATCAAAAAAATGAGAAGACACAGTTAGCAAATGAACCTTACTGAGGATATCAGGCCCCTTTGTTTCTAGTGTGCATCTATGAACTGTCAATGGTAACTTACCACAGTTCCAGAATTTTGGGGGGCAGATGTTCTGGGACCTGATAATACTGCAGAAGCCAAGAGAGAACTTCTCGCCACCGATCCATCTCCGCCAGGGCCTGGATCCCCACCACACACAGGAAGCACTTCAGGTCCTTGCTGCAGTGGATCACAGTTTAAAAGTAGAGGCTACCACTCCATCTCTCCCTTGCCCTCCCCCTTCCATCCTGGACCTGGGGTGCTCTTCCCCTCCTAGTTCCTTAGCTATCATCATCATCATTCTCACCATTCACTAGACACATTTCACAAATGGTCTAGCTAGCCTCAGCACTTAAGGAATGCTCTTCTCAGGTGCTGAAGACCACTGAACATTCCTGAAGGACTGAGAAACACTAGAGCAAATCTCAGTATGTTGTTGCCCCCCTCCAAGACTGTACAGGTGATAACCAGGTTAAAACGAAAAGCAGGCTTTAGAGGAAAAGAATGATGATAATAATAGAAGCTAGCATTTATACTGTGCTTTAAAGCTGGCAAAGCACTTTAATGTTAACTCATTTGATCCTCACAACAACCCTGTGAGGTAGGTGTTATTGTTTTCCCCATTTTACAGATGTGGAAACAGGCAATAGAGGTTAAGTGACTTGCCCAACCAGGATCACACAGCCAGTAAGTATCTGAGAAAGAATTCAAACTCAGGTCTATCTTGACTCTCAATTCTTGAGTTCATATACCAAACCACCTTAAAACAGCAGCCTACAGGGTAACATCTAGCCAGAAGGGGTTTCAGAGAAGGAATGTATTGTAGTTAACTGTGAGTATATACACACATATACTTATATATAATACATACAACTATTCATACATACACACATACATATCTTTTTAGACATCAATTCATGAAACTACTTCCTTCTCTCCTGAGGAAGAAATAGCTATGTCAATAAGGAGCTGAATGTCCTAGCTTTTTAATTTAGCTTTCTGGAAAAATCTAAAGAAAAACACTGCTCTTATATGGCCAGAAGTGTCATATGGCCATGGTGAGGCAGAACCAGGCATTTCTCCAGTAACTAGACAATAGAGAAGAAGCCATTGACCGAATCTCAGACCCTGCCACCACCTCCTCCCTTTCCACAGTAAAGGCCTCACAGACTGAGAAGAGGGAGGCACCTGGCCAAGGAAGGTAGCTGTGAGGCACTGCTTCTCACTGTAATCTTTGACCCAACTGGCACATTTCCCTTACCATCCACCACCCTGAATGCTACCCTGGCTACAATTCCATCATAAACTTAAAGCAAGAGTCTTCCCCTGCTGAGAAGCGAGCCAAGGACATATACAATTACTACAACTGTAAAACATTAAGACAGCTTTAAAGTGACAACAAAACCAATTTAAAAAATCACACTATAAAAAGCATACCTGTCTTTTCTTTGAACAAACAGTTAACTGCTAAAGGGTAGGGTCACCTGTACTATCTGGTAAAACTGCTCTTTTAGGCTGTTTTAACTATCTCAGCACAAGCTTCTTAGAGACAATTTTGCTTTTCACCCATGTATCCCCAGTGGCTAGCATGGTGACTTGCAAATAGTTGAGTGATTAAGAAATGTTTGTTGAATCAATTATTGTGGAAGATCAGGTATGAAGAGTAAAGAACTTGTGTGATGGATCCAAACAAAATTTATCAATTTTTTTTAAAAATGGAAAAAAAAGACACCCGAACTCCTCAGATTAGGCAGGGGGCTATGAGCTTAGGATCATAGATTTTGAGTTACAAAAGGCCTTAGAAGACATCTAAAAAAGTGATGTCCTAATTTTTTTTTATCCCATACCCTATCAATAAAAAATTTTGAGCACCCTCCAACATATATATTTGCTTATTTGTAAATTATATTCATGTACTATTATACTAATAATGTTTGATATAATTAACATAACTTTAAGTATTATATAATTTATGTTTATATGTTATAATTAAACACTATAAAATTTACAAAAATAGAAATTAAAAAGGATGAGCTAAAGATGAAATAATATTATGTATATATATAGGACTGAGATATCTTTTTAAACATCAATTCATGAAACTACTTCCTTCTCTCCTGAGAAGGAAACAGCTATGTCAATAAGGAGCCGAACATCCTAGCTTTTTAATTTAGCTTTCCAGAAAAACCTAAAGAAAAACACTGCTCTTAGATGACCAGAAGTGTCATATGGCCATGGTGAAGCAGAATCAATAGGGAGTCACTAGAATCAATAGGGAGGCACTAAAGTTTACTGAGTAGGGGATGACATGATCAGACCTGGGCCTCTGTAATATCAGTTTGGCAGCTGTGTGGAAAAAATGGACAGACAGAGGAAAGACTAGGGGCAGGGAGACCCAATTAGAAACTAGTGCAATAGTTGTGGATCAAGAAGTGATGAGGGCCTGGGGGGGTGGGTCACAAGGTATGATGTGAGGGTAGAATACAGAAGATATGACAACTGACTGAACATACATGGTTCAGGAGAGTCAGTCAAGGATGATGCTGATGTAGTGGAAATATGAAAGTTCATGTGCAAAGTGGTTTTTGGGGAAAAGATAATGAGATCTGTGATGCAGATTACAACCCACACTATACACCTGCTGGTTCTGTGGGAGTTGTTCTGTCCTACTGAAACCAAAGGGGGAAGGTCTTACCCTTGCAGGGACACACCTAGCTGAGGCCAAAATATAATAGTTCACACGCCTAAAGTATTTTCCTACGAAGAAGGCACCATGAGAGTTATTATTATTCAGCTAGATGTCAGAGCCTCCGAATCTCTACATACCTGTCCTCACACTCCTCTGCCTGCAAGCAAGAGCCCAGTCTCTCACAGCCCCTTTGGCATGTCTCCAGGCATGCCTTGAAGTTCCGGTGCACCACTAGGTAGTCTGCAGCCTCTTCCAGCAAGCTCTGGAGCAGAGACGGGGGTGGGGCCAAACCCACGGGCTCACTGCTTCTGAGTGACCCCACGCAACCCCTGAGTCCCAGGGCAGATATTGTCCCTTCGTTTTTCATGGCTCACTTCGGCTGGCGACTTTGGGATGGATGCTAGTCCCTCGGCTGGGGTCTGCCTGGGGAATAGGAGAAAGCCCCACCTACACGGTGCCCTGCCCCCCTGCCAACAACAGCACAGACTCTGGACTCAGAGAGGGAAAGGGCGCTGTGAGATCCAGACCGACCCCCATTTTACAGATGAGGAGACTGGAGCCCAATGAAGTTAAGTAACTTGCCCGAGGTAAGTCCTCCTGGGAATGTGGCTACGAGAGCGGACTGGGAAAGCTGGATTATCTTCAGGGGAAGAGGCAGAAAGTGCGCGGCTCCCAGTGGTTCTGCCTGCGGGGGGTGGGGCTGGACAGTTACCAGCCTCCAGGCCACCTCTGCCGAATTTACCGACTCAAGCTGGAACTTGGCAATGCCTGGCTTCCTCTGCCGCCGCGGCTGCGGTGGGGGCTCGTCTGGGGAGACCCGGGATCCAGGCCAGCTCCGCCGGAGTTCACGGGAGTCAGCCTTGCCCTTGGTGAGCTCTGCTTCCCCTGCAGGGAGGGGGTTTCTCTGCAGAGTCGCCAGCTCCTCGGCCACCTCCGCCTGGGCTCACCTGAGTCCACCTAATGGGACCTCTGGACCTTGCTGCTGCCGCTGCTGCTGGGGTAGCCCACATTCGGCAGGACCTTCACCCAGGAGAGTGAAATCCACCATGGAAAGCTCCCCTCCCGGCTCCAGGAGAGAGGAGGGGAAGCTCAGCCCTCTGCGGACATGTTGGCAGGCGCTGCCTGCGCTCTTCCTCATAAGCACATGGGCTTCTAGGGGAAGCACTCTGGGAATTGTAGTCTTCTCAGCTCCCCGGTCACGAGCTCTGGATGGGGAGGCACGACTACAACGTCCAGCATTCCAGCCTCTAGAGAATGTGAGCGGCTGCTGGGGAGACAAGACTGGTGGCACTATCTCTCTCTAAAAGTATTATGGCGATAAAAGTGTGCTTATGGGACAACTAGATGGCGCAGTGGGTAGAGCACCAGCCCTGGATTCAGGACAGACCTGAGTTCAAATATGGCCTCGGACACTTGATACTTACTGGTTGTGTGACCCTGGGCAAGTCACTTCACCTCATTGCCTAGCCAAAACAAAAAATAAAAACAAAAAATTGTGCATACCCTTTGACCCAATAATACCACTACTAGGTCTATACCTCAAAGAGAAAGGAAAACGATCTACATGTACAAAAATATTTATAACAGCTCTTTTTTGTGATAGCAAAGAATTGGAAATTGAGAGGATGCCCATTAATTAGGAGTTGTGGTATATGATTGTGAATGGAATACTATGGTGCTATAAGAAATGATGAGCAGGATGCTTTCAGAGAAACCTGGGAAGACATATATGAACTGATGCAAAGTGAAGTGAGCGGAACCAGAACAATGGTTGTACACAGTATCAACTATATTGTATGATCAGCTGTTAATGACTTAGCTATTCTCAGCAATAGGATGATCCAATACAATTCCAAAGGACTTACGATTAAAAATGTTCCATGGAAATGAAAAAACAAAAAGGAAAAATTTAAAAATCCTCCAGAGAAAGAACTGATTAGAGTCTGAGTGCAGATTGAAACATACTTTTTTTTTTACTTTTTTTTTGGGGGGGGTTGTTTGTGGGTTTGTTTGTTTTGGAAAATGACTAATATGGAAATATTTTACATGACTGTACATGTATAATCTATATCAAATTGCTTGCCTTCTCAAGAAGGGGAGAGGGAGGAGAGGAAGGGAGAGAATATAGAACTCAAATTTTTAAAAGAATGTTAAAATTTTTTCTTTACATGTAATTGAGAAAAATAAAATTAAAATTAAATGTTAAAAAAAGAAAAAATTACAAAAACTTCTCTTTTTTGAAAGGCACTGGGGCACAGTGGCTAGTGTGCTGATCTCAGAGTCAAGACCAGGGTTTGAATCCTGCTTGTCAGCTGTGTGACCCTGGGCAGATTGCTCAACTTCTCAATGCCCCAAGCAGTGCTCCAATACTGAATTTTAAAAGAGAACTGCCATACAAATCATTGAAGAAGTCTCTATGCCAATAAAAACACAGATTCCCAACCAAAACAAATAAACCAAAACAGCCACAACAATCTGGATGTACTCTTGCTACTATAGCACCTACGCCATTCAAGCATTTGCTCTTAACAGGTTTGGGAGTCAGTCACTTGGTGGTAACTGGTCACCCTTGAACCTCATGGAGATGTCAGGATACTGGAGAGAGAGAGAGAGAGAGAGAGAGTGCATGGGGTTTAATGGAAATGAAATTTAATCCAACAACAACATTTATTAAGTGCCAATAATGTTCAAACCATTGTGCTGGCATTAGAGATACAAAAAAGGACAAAAAACAAGCAAAACCAACAGCAACAGTTCCTACCCTCAGGGAGCTCACATTCTACTACAGGCATACAACATGCATCCAGATAAATAAATAGAAAGTGATTTGAGTGAGGAAAGAACTCACATCAAGAAGGTTGGGAAAGCCGTTAAGTATGGGGGACACTTAGTGCAAAGGATTGGAGGGAGAAGGTGGTGTGTAAAGGTAAGCTGATAGTCCAGTTGGAACAGAATGCAGAGTGAGTTAAGGGGAATTATGTGTAATCAGGCAGGAATAGGAGATTGGAGCAAGGTTATGCAGGAACTTTAATGCCTGATTGAAAAGTTTGTATTTTACCCTTTGTAAATAAGATTAATTAATTAAATATTAAGTAAGGAACTGCTGAAGGTTTTTGAGGAGGGAAATTATTTGGTCAGACCTGTAGGCTTTATAGAAAGATTAATTGGGGGCAGCTAGGTGGTGCATCAGATAGAGCACCGAACCCATCCTGGAGTCAAGAGGACCTGAGTTCAAATCCGTCCTCAGATACATAATACTCACTAGTTGTGCAATTCTGTGCAAGTCACTTAACCCCAACTGCCTCACCAAAAAAGAAAAAAAAAGATATAGGAAGATTAATTTCACTATTATGTGGGGTGACTTCTATTACAAACTTACTACAACTTACTTGATCATCTTAGAGAGTTCATTTGGCCAAAAAATTAATCACCCTTTGGATAACCTGGTTAGCCTCCCTGACTTTAGGCCACAGGCATACAGACTGTCATAGGGCCCATTCTCTATGCCTTTCCATCGTGTGTTCCATGGCACTATACCATGTGTTCCATGGCACAGCCTTTAAGAACTCAGGGTCCTTTCCATGCCACCCTTAGGCATCGAAGTAGGACATTTGTCAAGGATCATACACATGAACAGAGGAGACATAAACCTATAGGTTTATGTTATCAGATATGAGGGCAAGGGGATTTCTTGGATGACTATCCATATTTGTTTTCTTAGAACTCACAATGATAATTTCTGGATAATTAGATATCCGGGGCCGGAAGTTAAATCTTCTGACCAATGGCTGTGAGAAACAGACCTTTATCTCAGTCCCAATTCTTAATCCCAACTCTCTGCTCCTGTCTTTAGGTCAATGTTATTTAGACTTTTTTGATCATGTACCCCATCAGTTAAAAAACAAAATAAGAGAAATAAACAAAACCTTGAGCATGCACCTCCAATATATATATTTTAAATTATATGCATATATTATGCTAATATATGTAACCTTTGGATACATGGAGTGAGGGGGTCTTTCGATAGCTGTAGTGCCTTACACCTCTCACATCAGCATACGGATGCCTACTCGTTCTCTAGACTGGCTTGATCATTCCATCTTTTCTTCACATGGTCAAGTTCTAGGTGCCCAGAAAAGTACCACCACCATAAGGTTACCTTCTCAGGATCCTAGGCATTAACCTGTTGTGAAAGAATATACTTCCTTCCCCTATTCACCATTATCTCCCATAGTTCCCCTCCAATCCATTTCCTTTTACAGAAATCAGCCTTTACAATGATGATACTTTTAAATCTTAAACATATTCATTTATTTAGCAATAAGGTAAAAGATATAATAGTAACACAGGTGCTCATAGACTAGAGGAAATGTAGGAATGATAAATATATTACAATCCACACATAAATCCATATCACACTTCCACAAATATATCTAGTATCTGTGGGGGAGAGTAAGCACACATTTATAGAAACCTGTCAAGGAAGCACATGAAGGAAGAAAATCCATGTTTTCAGGGTAACTCACAACTCTGGATTGAAGGCTTTATTGTCATTGATCCATTCAGGAACATCTGTATCCTATAAAGGTACTTCTCTGCTAACTACTTGTCTACTGGTCCTCATTGCTCCCTAGCTGGACAATCTTCTATTCTCAAACCAAGGCACGATTTTAGAAGCTCTTCCAATTTATAATCACCCTGGTTAGCAGATCCCTTTAAACCTCCCTTTGAGCTGCAAAAGTCATCAGGCTAACTATCTCTGGACACTGCAGATAAGAACAGCCAAATGTTCACTTGTCAACACACTGTGTGATCAGTCAGTTTCCACCAACAAATATTTTTAAGTGCCTGCTGTATGCTAGCCACTGTGTTAAATGCTAGAGATACAGAGAAATAGTCTCTGTTCTCAAGGAGCTCACAGTCCCATGGAGACACCCTGCAAACAACTATGTCTAAACATGATATAGGATATATACAAACTAGATATATACCGGACAAATTAGAAATCATTTCAGATTAATATTAGGGAGGACAGAAAAGTCTTCCTAAAGAAGGGGAGCCTTTATGTGAGACATGAAGAAAGCCAGGGGGCAGAGATATAGAAGGATAGCATTTCAGGTCTGTGGGACAGCCCATGACAATGCCCAGAGCTGAGAGATGGAGTGGCTGTGTAAAGAACAGTAAGGAAGCCAGTGTCACTAACCAGGAAGGAGTATATTGTAAAGTGACTAGAAATGTTGGAAGGGGCTGGATTGCAAAGGGCTTTGAACACCAAACACAGGGTTTTGTATTTGATCTTGGAGGTGATAGGGAGCTACTGGAGGTTATTGAGTAGGGGAAGTGACATGGTGAGACCTGTGCTCTAGGAAGATCTCCATCAGTGGAGGGAGTTTCCTCACTGGAAACCTTCATAAAGATTAAATCACAGGCGCTGAACAGCAGCAGCATCAAAAACCTTGACAATACCCCTGTAAGATAGTAATAAAAATACTGCTGTTTTACAAGTAAAGAAATGGATGTTTATGAGGTTTATTTGTTTATGATCATAGCATTAGAGGCAGGATTTGATCCTGGATCTCTGGGCTACAAGTCTAGTCATATTGTCCCTGTCAGATAACTTTTCCTAAAGCAAGACTTTGTGCATGTCACTGATTTGCTCAAAAGTCTTCAATGTCTATTCATTGCTTATAAATCAAAGTTCTAACTTATCATGGCATCCGAGGCTCCCAAAAACCTGGATCCAACTTATCTCTTCATTCATTTATTCATTCAACAAAAACTCAGAGTGCTCCAATCTTATTGTCTCATTACTAAAGGCTTAGAGGAACAAGCACTAGATGCGGAGTCGGGTGAACCTGATATCTGAGATCTGGTTCTAACTGTATAGCCCAGAACACATCCATTGGAAAAGTCACAACTTCTAAGAATTATGATCTCAGTTGCCCCTTCACTTCAGCAAGGAATCCTTTTTACACCTAATAAATTCACTATCCCACTCACCACAATGACTATTTATAACTTTTTCTTCCCTCTTCAAAACTCCCATATCTCCCCTTCCCCCCCCACCCTCTTAGCTGAGAACCTTGCCTCGTATTTTACTAAAAATAATTGAGACCATTTGCCA